ATATACATCATTTACCACATTCCCTCCACTCAAAACATCCATCCAACAAAATCAAACCATCCGTCCAACAAATCCCAATCCACAAACCCGTCCACCCAACCAACAAATGCAACCCCATCCATCCATCCACCCAACCCTTCTAATCCACTAAACTCTCAACCCACTACAAAAAGCCAACCCTTACAGATCCCAAATAGAGGTGCAGCATTGGTGTGTTGGACATTGTACATACCGTATACCATTCATGTTGAGTTCTAGAATCGTTGTGTTGGAAGGGGCGAGGATGGGCGTGCAGGCGATGTGGGTGAAGGGGTACAGATACAACACATGCATACGGGGTTGCCCACACGGTACCTGGCAAGCCTACCAAGGCGAGGAACACAGAGAAAAGGGGAGGGTAATCATGAACTGCAAAGCTCAGGGCTAGATCAAGTCCACCGCGTGACTCTTGTTCCGAGACAAAGACATGCCTGTCCCGTCTTCTCGCGCAGCAGACGCGGGTATTGTACAGTGGTATCGAAGACATGAACGCGCTAAGCGCGCATTGCGCGGTTGTGAGCCAACAGCAACCATATCTTTCGCGTGCCGAGTCAGCGACCGAGGATCAGGCGACCAAGTCTTGGACATGGTAAGCGCACGGGACTTGTGGCTGCAAGGTGTTGCCCGATGGATGCCGTAGCAAGGCCAAGTATTGAACAATGTGATTTTAGGAGCCGAACGCAAGGGGGTGGTGGGAGGGGGGAACGCGCCTTTTTCTTTGCACGATCTAGGGGTCGGTGGATGGATGGCCGCGGATACAATGTGCTGACAAGAAAAAACTTTTTTTGTGTAATTCCAAACCTTTGTTCTCGGCAGGAACGGGACGCGCCGCACTTTCCAGGAAAACGGGTTGGTGGTCATGTTTGAAAGGGAGTGTACAGTAGCAGAGGGAGATGTGGTAGAGGAGCATTGGTCGTTGATCATCTTCAGGATCGGCTTGGCTGCACTTCGGTTGGAGATGAGCGAGGCAGTGTACTGTATGAGCACCAGACTAGACTAGAGACTGTACTGTAGAGTACTGTGAAGTTTGTTGGCCTTGCGACTGTCTGGATAGGTGAGCCATTGGCCGATGGCAAGAATGCCCACACGCGTGACCAAAGGCCAACCTTCAAAACCAGACAAATCAAGGCAAGCAAAGCATTCCAGACTTTAGCCGAGCTGCGCTGCGATGCTTCGATGATGCATCGGTGTGGGTGTGAGCAGTCAACTGAGGCCTGGCCGGCGCGCGGGTGCCTGGGGCGTAATTCTCGGCTGGATACGAAAAAACATGGCGCCTGCGGCGTTGAGATGAGCAGGCGGCCCGATTCGCTAACCGTGAGCTGCGCTATGGCCCAAGGCGGCGGTCATGTGCCGAGCTGCGAACATGACGGAAGTGGGAGGCCGCGGGGGAGCTAGAGTAGCATCGACGGCCACGACCATGGACAAGGACATACATGGCGGCAGAGTAGCTATGGCATGTATGTACTTGTCCAGTCTGTACATGATGTACGCTACCGTGCCTATCGTGTTTACCTACTGCCTACTCTAGTACTAGGCCAAGCTCTTTCTGCAGTCGCATGTACGATACGTACGGTCGGGTTAGAGGGTGTGCACAGTAGAGCAGATCGGGGGAGTCGGGAGGCAAAGATGCAGAGCCCAGCGGCTCAAGTCGGTATATTGAGGCAGGACATGGCCATCCAGATGGGGGTATACGGCCGAAGGAGCAGCCAGCCGCAAGAGCGTCGAGGGGGGCGCTGGAGGGTTGCGGCGTGGATCTTGATTAATGAAACTTGGGCGAGGCCCATGCGTGCCTGCTTGTTTGGTCCTGGTCGTGAAACTGGGCAGGCGGTTACAGAGCCAGGCAGGACAGAGTGAAAAGATGAGATGAGCAGAGTTGCAGACTGAGCAATGAGGCAGTGCCCAAGGGGACGCCGCGAGTGCATTGGCCTAGCTGCCCAGGCGTGAGGCTGGCGACGAGTCAGGCCCCAACGGGCGCCCTTGGTGGAAGCGCGCGGGACCTTTGGGCGATACGCAGGAACAGCGGGCATGAGACATGACGACAGCGGCGCAGGCATTGATTCGTGGTTGGGAGGGGCAGTTCAGAAATGATCACAGCAGGCAGGCAGATAGGTAGGTGGGTAGGTAGGTAGGTAGGGGACTGTCTGTAGGTAGGGTTAGGGAGTTGATGCAGCAGCAGCAGCAGCAGCAGCATGATCAGTAGCAGCGTATCGAGGCGCGGTGTTGTCTTGTGTCTTGTCTCGTCTCGTCTCGTCTCGCAGCAGCAGCAGCAGCAGCAGCACACACACACACACGCACACACACACAGGCAGACAGGTGGTGGTGGTGGTAGTGGTGGCGGCATGGGGACAAGCGCGTCTACGTTGGAATGCTGATGCATGGCCCGCCGCGTCTGACAAAAATAGGAAGGCCCGCTAGCGGTGCGTGCGCTCATTGACCTGCAGCCGGTGCAGGCAGTGCAGACAGCCAATCACAGCCCCCAGCAGCGCAATATGTGAAGGCGAACACTGCGTTCCGCGTTGGCTGCAGCTTCCTAACGGTGTTTGGCTGATCCACCTCGCAGACCTCTCCGCCGGGAGCGCTGGTCCCACCGCGACGCCCATGCCACCCTGGCCCGCCAGAGAGCTCTTCCACCCTCCACTACACCCACCAGACGTCCCTAGGGCTGAAGACGTGACTTTTCCGCCCAAAAACGTGGCAGGAGGCTTCTATGCAGGGTCGATATGTACATAGTCGAAGGAACCGCCTCTCTGGCACTTCTCTGGGGTAAACGACGGTGCTGGTTGAGTGCCGCCGAGTGGGACAGATAAACGCGGGTCGACAGGGGGGACGGACCCTGGGCCAATCAGCAATGCGACAGCCGGGGTCCCCTGCAAGACCCATCTGCAGGCTAGCAGCTAGCAGCAGGAGCGAACAGCCGCCCCTCCGTTGGCATTTGCTGCTGGCTGGGGGGTGGCATGGCAGGTGCTTGGTCACTGGTCGTTGTTGCTGTTGGCTGGCTAGGAGTAGCTAAGTACCGGTAGGTATGGTAGGTACGGTAGGTTGGTGTAGGTGTGTGTGTGTGTCAACTGGTGTGCTAAGAGGTGATGGTCGTGCTTGCTTGCTTGCTTGCTTGCTTGCTGCTTTTCTGCTGGTGCTGGTGCTGATGCTGGCCCTGCTGCTGCTACTGGTACTGCTGCTCATCCGCTGGCCGCTTGCCAACTAAACTTGCGCCTGCCGTCGGTCGGGTCGCCCCTCCCTCCACTACACTACACTACTACACTCTCTGCGCGAGCAAGCGCGTTCCTCCATTGCACCGCTGTGCCTTATACACTCTCCTCTCCCAGTGACGCGTGGCTCTCTGTTCCCGCATCATCGTTACCCACCTGTCAGTCGAGTCGTCTGGGGTCACATCACCACACAAACCCACCAACTTACCACCTTACCACCTTACCACCTTACCACCTACCACCTACCACCTACCACCTACCAATAACCCATCACCCATCACCCATCCACCCCCCATCATCCACATCACCCATAACCCATAACCCATAACCCATCACTCATCACCCCGCCAAACACCTTCGTTCCGCCACCCTCTCTCTCCCATCTCATCCCATCTCATCCCATCCCACTCCAACCCAACCCAACTCAACTCAAAAACACAAAATTAAACCCAACCAAACCAACAAACATACCTACCCTAACCGGTCCTGTCCAATCCCGCTCCTGTGCACACCCCGCGCCTTCGACCGTGCAACTCTCGACTCCTGCGCACTGGCATGCCACGGCCCTGCTGTCAGCTCGTCTACGCTGCAACTCCAACGGGCAACTCCAACGCTCGTCCGTAAGCGCGAAAGCCGCCTCTCTCCCCCCTCCCTCTCCCTCTCTCAGCATTGTGCAACCCAAGAGCACAGCGCTTTCGTGGCGTCACTCTCTTGAGAAAATTCCCTCGACTAAACAACGGCCGCCAGAGAGCCAAGAGGGGCCCCATTGATCTTCAAAAGCGAGCATCTTCCGAACGAATCTCCAGGACAGGCAAAGCCTACTGGAGGCCTGGATCTTGAACCACTTCGGCAGATTCTGCCCTCGCACCACCGCATTTGCGTACCATGTCGACGGTGTTGCAAGTACAGCCATTTTCCTCGAGTCCCTTTGGTCTGCGTGAGAAGAACATCGAGTCTTTTGCGCCTGCCTTCACCTCTGTCAATGGCCGCCATTCATCGAGTCCTCCATCCACCGATTTGAAGTCAACCCCCTCCATAGGAGCAGCCGCCTGGAGCCCAAGTGCCCCAAGGCCCCAGAACGGTTCCGACAGCTCCGGCAATTCCGTCTCTCCCACCATGACGGGCAGTGCATCCCCTGACAGCCCAAACAAAAAGAGGCGCTCCGAGCCTCGAGAGGACGAATATGCTCGTCCTAGTCCAGATCAACCGGTAGGGCCTACCAAGCAGCAGATTGTACCCTACCAACCAGTCGCGCCACCTCAGTCTGGACATGCATCCAAAGAAGACACGCACCATCGTACCCTGCCTCCCTTGGAGCGCTCCGATATGGAGAGACGATGGGCCACTGAACCTCGCGACTTACCACAAAATGGTTACCAGGACATGCAAAGACGCGAAACTCGGCCCGCGGAACCAACCCACAATCCTGGTCCATCCAATCCACCGCATGCCCTTGTCAAGGTTATGAGTGATCCCCATTATGAGGATGAACACGCCCGAGAAATTGCGCGCGCTGCTGGCATTCAAGTCGAACTTAAGAAGAGAAAGAGGGTACGTCCGATCATCGCAGGCTGTCTGACTAGGCTAACCCAGTCAAAGCAATTCGCCAACCGAACGAAAACTGGATGTGGCACATGTCGCCGACGCAAGAAGAAATGTGATGAAATGAAGCCAGAGTGTACGGGCTTTTTTCCCTCTCTCCATCCCTTTGCAAACTACTGACCTTTATCCAGGCAATAATTGCACACGAGGAGCCTTCATTTGCGAAGGCTACGCAAACAAGATCCCGTATCCAAAGAACGGAACCCTGAAGCCGCCACCGCCACTACAAGCCAAGGAGAGACCATCCGGAGAGCCTACTTCAACGTACCCCTCTTGTCCCGTCTGCAACCAGATTCATATTCCACACTGTGAAAGCCCTCGCACCACGCAGGCTCCGTACTCAGCGGAATCCCAACCCCAGTTGTCAAACGGGCAAGATGGTGCCCGCAGTCGTCCCATCCCCATCGAGGACGAGCGTCAACTACCAAAATCAAGCACCTGGACGGGCAATGGCTGGAGTGAAAGCGCACCACCCCCACCCCCACTGAGGACTTCCTACCCCTCTGAACCACATGCGTATTCTCAGCCGCCTAGCAGCTCCAGTCACGAGCGCCCAACAACGCACGAGCATTCGGTGCTCCACCACCAGCATTCAGAGCCACCACGCCAACAACACAACTCTCGTGTGTACCACCAGACCCCGCAGAGCATGAGTCAGGGGTTGGTCAGCACCCTGGCGCCTGTTGTGTAAGTCTTCCTCTGGGGAAACTCAAGACTGCGTCGACGACGTAGTTTAGCTCTGCATCCATTGTTTTGATGTTCTTTTGGCTGACAAGCTCTCCAGACCCCCCAAGACGACGACACATCATCATCAAGTGGCACAGCACGCTCGGCAGCCGCCTCCCCCACCACCACCGGTTATAGTACCACCCACCATTGCGCCACCTGGACCGCCACCCAGTCTGTACACGCCACATCCTAGGATGCACAAGTCCGAGAAAGAAAAGATGTTGGCTGGTTTGCCATTTCTACCCTTCGACAGGGAGCTAGTCAACGAGCGTACACATTGTGCTGGTGCAGTGTACCAGTTCAACAGTACAGCCAATGCTGCGGTGAGCATTGCAAAGGATGAGCGTGGACGTTGCTTCAAAACCATTGTCGCTGCCCGGTGGATACCACCACACACTACAGAGCATCCCATTGTCGGCCATCTTGGCGGTAACGTACACGTTGCCGCACCATTCCTTTGCGACTATGGCTACAACCTGTCCATTGCTGAGAATGTCGTGATTGGGTCGAATTGCGAACTCCACGACTCCGCCAGGATTGCCATTGGAATGAACACGAAGATCGGAAATCGTGTGATTATTACGACCCTGAAAACTCCGACCGACATCAAGGCTCTCAAGGGCAGTAATGGCACTGAGATCGCACAAGAGGTCTTCATTGGGAAGAATGTATACATAGGTGACGGCTGTATCATCGAGGCTGGTGTCAGGATTGGGGACAACGCCATTGTCCGCCCTGGGTCTGTCGTCGTCCGAGTAAGTCATCGTCGTCATGTACTTTATAGAAGTTGCCAAGCTAATACATCACAGGACCTTCCTCGTGATTGCGTCGCACATGGAAACCCTGCCTTTGGCTGAATGGCGGAACAGTAGAGCAACACATTAGCGACATCTGCGTCGCCTGGAGTGTAGTGGAACAAATGGGCTTTTGGATTCGACTGTAGATGGGAATTGCATGTGCTATATTTGGTGTGCAGGCCTTTGAGTCTCACACATGCGCGCCACTGAGTGGTGCGCGGAGTTTACACGGCGTCTTTGCCTTTGGCGGTATACCCTGAACGTACGACCAGGATTTCTGGCATGGTTTGAATTTCAAGATGTTCTTGCACGATAGTATGTTATCTGATGTACATAGACCGTCTCGGTACACCACGCATGCTGGGCAATGCACTTCTGTTGAGTTTATCGATGTTGATCGAAACGAATGAATTGTATCTGTGAGCACGTCTGGACATCCTGGCAAGATTGCCTTGCCCCACAACTAGCATGATGATGACAACTTTGAGGACAAGTCGACGCTTACAGCTTAGCGTGGTCTACGCGCGTGAAAGCCGCCCCCCACGTGCCCATCATGGCCCGAGCTTCGAAAATCAACGGCAGCGAAGACATGTCCAACCTATCGCCAGCATCGCAGACCAAGCACACAACACCATGCCGCCCAAGATACCCCTTCCCTGGGGCCAATTACCCCCCTCCTTCCTCCTCCCTTCGACTACGCGGCTCCTCCTCGCATCCACTCTCAAGAAAGCGCCCCTGCAAACCACCCACATCACCACCCGCGGCATAAAATCCACCTTCAAACCCAAACCCAACCGCTTCAATCACCACCCCTCCAAACCCGCTCTCAATGCCTCGTCCACCGCAGCTCTCGCCCGTCGCGCCCATAGTACCCCGCTGCGCACCGGCCTCCTCGCAAACAAAAAAGGCATGACGGCCATGTACGACCCCGAGACGGGCAAACGCACCGCCTGCACCGTCCTCCAGCTCGACCGCAACGAAGTCATTGCGCACAAGCGGCGCGACAAGAATGGGTATTGGGCGGTTCAGGTGGGCGCGGGCGAGAAACTGCCCAAGAATGTGACCAAGCCTATGCTGGGCCATTTTGCGGGCGCGGCCGTGAGCCCCAAGAGATGGGTTGCCGAGTTCAAGGTGAGGGATGAGGCGGGGCTGGGTGTGCCGGTGGGGAGTATGGTTGGGGCCGGGTGGTTCAATGTCGGGCAGTGGGTGGATGTCAAGGGTATTAGTAGGGGTATGGGGTTTGCAGGTGTAAGTTTCCTTCACCTGGGCTGGGGACTTGGAGAGAGGAGAGTCTGGCACTTATAAATAGAAACAAAGCTAATTCTGTTTTTTTCCTTTTTAACAGGGCATGAAAAGACACGGCTTCGGCGGACAACCCGCATCACACGGTCAATCGCTCATGCATCGCGGCATGGGATCAGCAGGTGGTTCACAAGGCTCAGGTTCCCGCGTCCTACCGGGCAAGCGCATGGCCGGAAACATGGGCAACGAAAGCGTCACAGTCAAGAATCTCAAGGTCCTCCAAGTTGATGCGGCAAATGGAATCCTCGTCGTCACAGGTACGTTTGACATGACCAGTTTTTTTTGCAAAACTCTGTCCACCCCGCGCCTGACGTCTTCCGGGCAATTTTCCCAATTCCACACACCCAACACCAGAATACATACAAACAGCAAACAAACACTAACCTCCCACAGGCGCCGTCCCCGGCCCAAAAAACCAAATCATACGCGTCTCAGACGCCCGCGATAAGCCCTGGCCCGCCGGCCCCATGAGCACCACGGATCTCTCCCCATCTGAGGTCTTGGCTACGGCTGCGAGTGCAGAAGTTGCGGCTGAGGTGGCGGCGGCGTAGTGGGGTTGTGTGACGTGAGGGATGGGATGGGAGATGGGAGGGAAGGTAGAGAATGAGATGGGAGGAGATGAGATGAGATGAAATGAAATGAGATGGGATGAGATGGCAAGAGATGTATAAAGCCATCCATACCCCAACAAGCGTTTTCTTTTTTCTCTCCCACTGATAAGAGCGAGGCGGAGAGTGGAGATTTTGTTACATCAGAGTATATTTATAACCTAGCCTAGCCTGTCATCATCTCCATCTCCATGACTATGTTGAATAGCCGTGCTAAGTGCAATCAACAAGATTGTAGATGTAATGATTGATGCTGTTTATTTTAGTCCAGCCCAGTCCAGGCCCGTTCAGTCCAGCCCAGTCTAGCTGGGTCTCATTTAGTTTAGTCTGGTTAGCCTGGCTGCATGTTGTGTCGTATAGGGTTTTGTATCGTGGTTTGTGCACAGTGGGCTGTGAATTACGAGGGAATGGTGAGGAGTGAAGAGTGAGGAGTAAAATGAGCACAATCTTGTATAATACTTGGATATACTTGGATATACCAGTTCTACACTGTACTCGTCTGCATTATACTGTATACCGACTAGACTGAGTGTAACAGACAGAAAGGTAGGAGTGTGTCTCCTGGCGTTGGGGAAGGGGAAGCAGGAGGAAGGAGGAGAAAAGGAGAAGAATACATGGATAAGA